CGACGACACACACACACACACACACACACACACACACACACACACACACACACACACACACACACACACACACGTTTCTCTGATATGTTCGGTAACAGCCAACGAAACGAGAGGCGTTTGTCAACACCTTTGTGCCAAACCTCGAGCGCATCTTGGCCCAAGACAACGAATCCGTGCAGGTACCGCACGCACACGTGCACATGTGCAGAGGAAAGGGGTGTTGTTTGCTTGATCACGCAGGTATATCCACAAGCGTTCGAGAATACAGGACACGGTATTGCACACCCATTTTTCACACACACACACACACTCTCACTCTCTCACGCTACACACATACGCGCACATCAATTCACACACACACATATACGCGCACATCAATTCACACACACACGCACGCACGCACGTTCACACAATACCCCTGCGCGGCCTGCTGCAGGAGACCGCTGCAGTGTGCATGAGCAAGATCTTCGAGGCGCTGGGTCTGTTTGTGCAAGACGTGGACATCAGCAAGCTGCTGCGCGCGCTGCTCAAGAACATGAAGTCGCCAAGTCCGACCATTCGCCGGGCCGCCTCTGACGCCGCCATCGCCATCTGCAGAAACTCCCGCACGCCTCTGCACCACATCCAGGTCTTGCCACGTGGTGCTGCTAGCGGTGGTGTTGCTGCTGGTGGTGCTTCTGGTGATGATGATGATGATGATGATGATGATGATGATGATGATGATGATGATGATGATGATGATGATGATGATGATGATGATGGATGGATGGTGATGATGATGATCATCATCATTGTAGTGGTGAGAGAGACCTCGCATCGTTTGCGCTGTTGCGCTGCGTCTGCTGTTGTCATTGTGACGAGTTAAACTCGCTTACTTTGTGCTCCTTTGTGCTCCTTTGTCCCTTCCTCTCGCTCATAACACACATACACACTCAATCCACGCACACTACACACATGCAGCAATTGACCAACAGTTTGTTTTCTCTCTTCCAAGACGACGCCGATGCAGACGACAAGATGAAAGGTGGGCCAGACAGCAGGGAGGAACTGTAATCATTGCGCACATATCCCGCCCCTTATCCCATGTGGAAAATGGCAGCAGCAAGTATTCACTCGCCCTTGCTTGCTTGCGCGCGCGTGTGTGTGCTTGCGTTTTGCTTGCATGTGTGTTTTGTGCGTATTGTTTCACAGACCACGCAACGCTGGGCAAGCTGCTTGCGTTTCGCAAAGTGATGATCACACACCAGCAAGTCTCCAAGGAATGGGGGTCGACGGAGCACGTGCGTTGGTGCTAGTGATGCACATATTCACACTTGCGTTCGCGTTATGTCTTCCTTTCCGAGAGCTGGATTCCAATCTCACCACCTCACCAGCTCACGCTCACACTCACACGAAACACACACACACTCACACGAAACACACACACACACACACACACACGTGCAACTCCATCAGCTGTTGGATGAGCCGCTGCTCGAGCGATTGTTTGAGTTGTTGTTCAGCTGTCTCGACGGAAAGAACCACAACGTCGTCACGTCCGCCCTAGAAACGCTGCAGCAGGTGTGCAACGCACGCGCGCGCATTGGCGCATGCCTTGCCTGACAGAACGCTTGTTGTTGCGCTCTTGCTCACTGTGCCATGATATGAGCATACACTGCATGCACACGCGCGCGCACCCTATTCCTCACATACACAATCACTCCCCCCTTCCTCTTACACACATACACACACACCGCTCCCCCCACAGCTGCTGTCTGTGCTTCGTCGTGAGCTGCTGTCGTGGTATCGCAATCCAGAGCGCTCCGTCCCGCTGTTGCAGAAACTGTCTTCATTCCTGCAAAAGGGAGCAAAGCACCGTGTCAGGTGAGGAGGTTTGGCCAATCTGACTGTTGTGATGTTGGCCTGCACGCTTGAATGTGTGAATGTGTGTGTGTGCATGTGAATATGTGTATGTGTGAATGTGCGTTCGTGCATGTGAATGTGTGAATGTGTGAATGTGCGTGTACAATAAGTTGGATGTTGTGACTTATCCACCTGTTTTGCTCAAGGTGCCCATTGTGTCTGATGCGCTGAACCAAGCGTGCTGTACTTCTCACCCTGCACATCACCTGGTTTGACAACATCAACGACAGCGTCACCGCCCTGGCCATCTCCTGTCTCGGGCAGATGCTGACCTTCGAGCCAAGGTGCCACTTCAACCTTGCATGTGCACATGTGTTCGTGCATGTGTGCTGTTGTATGTTTGCGAGCAGCAGCGCATGCGCCCGCGCACACCTACACATTCACACTCATGCGCTCTGACACCTCCACACCCCACCCCACCCTACATACACGCATTCACACTCAAACACTCATTCACTCATTCACAACATCGTCACCCCTTGTCATGTGCGTGCAGCTTCTTTCGTGCACTGGTGGTTGAGAACGCGCCCAAACCCGCAAAGAAACCGTCCGCATCCGGCACGTCAGCATCACCATCAGCGACAGCAACAACTGCAGCAACAGGAGAAGTAGGAGGTGGCGATGCGGAGGAAGCGAAAGTGCCGCTTGCAGAGCTGTTGGTGCGATTCCAATTCCACGACGATCCGTTGTTGCGCGGCAACTGCTACACGGCCATCTCCGTCCTGCTCAAGGTACCAATGCTCCCGACACAGAACCGTCAAGCTTGGGTGTATCGCCACATAGCAGCACGTGCACGCATCACATCCATGCATCACACACACATGATCATACCTGTCTGTCTTACTCCACCTGTCTGACTCATGCAACCTGCTCTCCCCAACCACACATTGCAACACCTTACCGACGACACTCACGTGCAACTTCCCTCTTTGTTATGTCTGTCGGCGTTACTGTGCTCCCACCACCACCACCACCACCACCGCCGCCGCCACCATCATCACCCACATCGCCTCCAGGCCTCCCTGGCGCGCAAGCACTATGTGTTTGACTTTGTGCCCGCACCAACGGGCGAATCCCCCTTCCCCTACGACGAGTGCGACGGACACTACGCGCTGTCCACGCTGTGCGCCCGGCTGGTGGAGGGTCTGAACGACCCCATCTCCACCGTTGTGCGCAGCGTGATGCTTGGGCTGCGGGACTGCGTGCCGTCGATGCTTCGCAGCACGCTGGGCGCGCTCGGGGTTGAGATGCTCCAGTACATGCTGGCGCTCCGCTTCAGCTCCTACTGGCTGTTGAAGGTGGACCTTGCCGACATGATTGGCGAGATTGACTATGTGCTGGTGCACTATCTGGAGCAAGAGAAGCGCGTGCCACGCCACATCCTGGACCACCTGCCGACGACAACGCTCTCCTTCCCGCACCGCAACCGCCCGCTCAGCAGCTTCAACAGCCGCGTGCAGCCCATGGCCATCGACACGCTCATGCAGCTGCTGGGCGACGAGGACCAGCGCGTTCGCGCCAAGGCTGCCCACGCTTTTGTGCGTTTAACGGCGCTGCTGTTCTTTGAGGAGGACTGGCCAGGCCAGGATGCCCTTGCTGCCGTGGTGGAGCGACGCGCCACCTACCTGGCCGGCGTCGCCACGTCCATCTCGTGGTTTGGCGACGGTGAGGGAAACTTCAACAGAGAGACGCACCTTGACGTGCCGCGGGCCAACCTGTCACGCATCATCGACATGCTTGTGCAGCAGCTGCGTACGGCGCAGTCCAAGTTTGCGCTTGCCGGGTGCTACCACGCCCTGCACACGCTCACATCGACGACCGAGCTGCCGATGGAGGTGCGCTACACACCCGCATCGGACAGCCCAGGCAACCCGGCGGTGTACGTCGGCGACATTTTGCCGCTTGCACTGGACCACCTCACCCTCTCCACCGTGCTGACCGACACAGCCATGCACGTGGACATTATGGCGCTGGTGGCGACGATTGTGCGCCGTGCCGACCGCTCGTTTATGGAGCCGCACTTCCACGATCTCGTGGCACACGTCATGCGCATCCTCAACATCTGCGTGCATGTGGTGGAGAACCGGGCGCCAAACGCAAAGGACGCACGCCCGGAGCGCCGGCGCACAACTGTCTCGGCCTCGCATGGGTCGGTGGTGAGTGGATCTGTGTCGTCAACAGCAGCGACAACGTCGCCCCGTCCGCGCACGGCGACGGAGGTTGACATCAGCTCGGCCAGCTTCACTCATCGGCACCACGCGCAGCAGGTACAAATCGCTTCTTCTTGCTGTTTGCGCTGTCTGTTTTGGATGAGTGACACGCAGTCGGTGCGAGGGGTAGAAGAACGACGTGGTTGTGGTTGCACGCAAACCATGCATGAGTCGCGTTCCATACCTCAGCCACAGACCAAGCCAATCTTTTGTGTATCGCGCGCACACACATTCACACGCACACACACATTCACACGCACGTACATACAACTTGCCGCTTGACGCCTATGTGTACCCCAATGTTGCGGTTCATGTCGCAGGAGAGCGCTTCGTCGCCGTTGTCCATGCCGGCGCCTGTGGACGATTTCTCCGGACGCGAGGGCCGAATTGGAGCATTTGCACACCTGAGTACGTTGGAGGGAGAAGGGGGGGGGAAGCTGATGCGTTGATGTGCTGATGTGTATGCGTGCGTGTGTGTGTGCGTTTGCTTGCTTTGGTGGTGCGCCAATGCGATCCATGCCTGAGCCATTAACATACACATGTACACACAACACACACACAACGCATACGCTCATATGCACGACTCATGCACTCACAACTACTTGCACACACACACACACACACACACACACACACACACACTTGCATCACCGCGCGGCGCTGCACATTTTGCAGAGCACTACGTTGAGCTGTACGATCTGCTAAACGCGACATTCAAAGCGAGCAAGATCACGCTCAAGGCGGAAGAAACATCCAAGTTTGGAGACATGGTGCGGGTGACGTTGGAAGTGCTGGCGTCACTCGTGGTCGTGGAAGGCAGCGCATTCCAGCAGATGGCCCAAGAGGTCATCGGATACTTGCAGGTCTGTGCTGGCGACACTTGTTTGGAGGGGAGTGTGTGTGTGTGCGTGTGTGTGTGTGTGTGCGCGCGTGTATTCTAGAGTTCGTTTGCGTTCGGTGCACGAGTGTGCACGATGTTGTTGCCGAGCTTGTTGCAAATGCTGTTCTTATTGCACGCTGCACCGCACATCTTCACACACTCACTCTCTTTCTCACACACACACACACGCACACACACACACACACACGCACACATACACAATGCACACTGTGCACAACATCAGGCGCTGATGGCTGCAGAGCCGCACAATGTGCTTGTGTGCGTGCACAAGCTCATTGTGAACCTCTTTGGCTCTCCGTCATCGCGTGCAAGTGCGCGTTTCGGGCGCATGGGTGGGCAGTCCTCCCTGGAATTGCAATCGCTTGATGACGAACTTGACGCCATTGCGGACGAACAGTTTGCGCAGCAGCCAAACACAGGTTATAAGCGCGCGTGTGCGTCCGTGTGTATGAGAGAGCGTGTAAACGCGCGTGTTGTGTGTGTATATGTGAGTGTGAGTGTATGTACATGTAAGTGCACAGTTGCAATGCTCTGCTCTGTTCCCCTCACGTTCTATTCACGCGCTCATTCCTACCTCTCCTCGTTTGCTCGGCCCTTGTTCTTGCATTTCAGGGTTCTTTGAGCGTTGCATCGGCGTCACGCGGACGCACCTCTCTGATCTCCACCTTCGCATGTCTCGCGTCTCAGACTCGTCGCAGAGCAAGACAGTGGACAGTTCCATGCGACAACGCGCTTCCATGAGTGCGTTTCAATTCATTTTTTTCTTGCCTCCAACGCCAACCCTCTTCTGTGTCCCACCTATCCACATCTTCGCTATTGTAATGCATCAAGACTCGTGTGAAACACATGCAAGTTCACAATCACCACCACCATCATCACTACATCATCTCACCACCACTATCGCCACCAAACCACCTTACTCACTCATCACCATCATTATCTTTCAGGTCCGTCTCGCAGCGCGGGCTCCGCCAACCGCGACCGGATGCTGCAGTTTGTGCGGCAAATTGAGCCGCTGGTGCTCAAGGCGATGAACTCGTACACATCCACGTCGTCCATTCCGCTACAGCAGCAGATTATCTGGCTCCTGTGCCGCCTCATGACTCTCAAGGTCACCTACACCGTCCTCGACCCAAACCAGGTGCCAATCGCTGTGCGTGTGTGTTTCGTGTGCGTGTATATGTCGTGTGCATGTGCGTGTGTGGGCGTGCGTGTGCGCGTGTCATACGTGTAGTTGCGTACATGCGTGCATGGCAAATGAACGTCATTTTTCACCGTGCTCCACCCATTCCCTCCTCCCCTCCCGTGTCCTCCCCTCCCCTTCCCCCCCCCCCGCATCAGGTGCTGGTGCGCTGTCTGGTGAAGCAGATTGGGCTGGTCAAGAGCGGCAACGTGCGCTCGGCGCAGATCCTGCTGCCGTACGTCTTCCAGTTCTTCCTGCTGCTGGTGAACGAGAAGGGGGTGAGCCTGACCATGGAGCAAGTCGTGCGCATGGCATCGGAGGTCATTGAGAGCAAGCATCTCAAGCCGCAGGAGACGCTGTCGGCGTTCAAGCCGTTCATTCGCTACTTCTTCGTTGAGCAGGCGCACTCCTACCGACCGGTGCGGACCGAAAGCTCCTATCGTGTTTGTGGAGGAGGAGGAGGAGGAGGAGGAGGAGGAGGAGGTTGTGTGTGTGTGTGTGTCCGTGTGTGTGTGTGTGTCGAAAGGAAGCCACTCCATGAGTGATGCTGCGGCCTCCAATCCTCTCACGTGCAAATTGCAACACACACACGCATGTACGCATACACACACACAAAATCACACACACACACACATGCACACTTGCGTGCGCGTGTGGTTACGATTTCGCAGAGCACGCCTGCTGTTCAGGAGCAGCAGCAGCATGTTGTGAAGACGCTGCTGGGGCGGCTGTCTGATCCGGCTGTGCAGGACCAGGCCGCCATCCTGCTGCGCGCCGTTCGTCACGACCCAGACCAGTGGAAGAAATACAGCAGACAGGTCCTGTACATAAGTTGTTGTCGACTTTATCGTCGTCGTTGATGTTTGTGTTTACTGTCTGTGTTGCCACTGCTGTTGCTTTGTTTGTGTGTTATCTGTTGTGTGAACGACCATGTATGTGTGTGTGCGTGTTTGTGTTTGTAATGCGGCGTGGAATGCCCTCACGTCCCTCGTTACTCCCCTCTTTCCCTTTTTTTGCTTTGTTGCTTCTTCTGCGACAGTTTGTGGACAGCATGCTGCCGCTGTTGTCAAAGGGAAAGACGGAGACGCGCGGTGTGCGGGCGCTGCAAACGCTGCATCGTCTCTTTGAGAGCGTCGCGCCCCAGGTGCACTGACACCACCCATGCACATCTCAAACATACATTGACATGCACGCATTCAAACACACACGGACGTGCACGCATCAATTGCTTTGTGAAACAGTCCTTGCCTCCCCCCCATGTAACTCTTGTTGCGTGCACCACTGAATGCTGCACTCACGCGACACAACCACTGCATCATGCATCACTCCGCCCCATCATCATCAATTGTCACACCACGTGCAGGCGTTGCGTCCCGCCAAGATTCTGCTGCGCTGCATGTTCGACTCCATCCTCCCAAACATCAAGGTGCGTTTGCACGATGTGATGCGTCTTCATTGAATGTGGGAGATTGGTGTTTGAAAGTACAATTCACACATACACACACACGTATCACACATACACACACACGTATCACACATACACACACGTATCTCACACACGCACATAACTCACACATACACACACATAACCCTCACACGTACCCCCCCCCCCCAAACGCACACTGCACAGATACCGTCATACATCACTGCACCGGATATGGAGAGGGAGCGACCGCGGAGTCTGTACGCGTGGCTGCCGGCCGTGCTCGCTGTCATGAAGGTGTGTCCACACCACATGCGTGGCGAGGGTTTGGGATCAGGGGTTGTTCGCACTGTGACGAGTCAAGGAGTCAGCGAGGGAAAGATACAAAGGGGAAGAGCGCAGGGGCATGGTATTACTCGTGGTATTATTGCCAAGTTGTTGACGACACGACACATAACCATGCGCAAGTTGTCACACGCGCAAGTGTTCACACACGCGCACTCCCTCCCCCAACACACCGATTACACGCTGTGTTAGGTTCTGCGCACGACCAAAGAGACGGAGCTGCTTGCGGGTCTTCAGTCCGTGCTACTGTTGGACACGGATGAGGAGCGAGCACTTGCCCTTGTGGAGTGTCTGTTCAAAGTGATTGTGCTCGTTGGCCGCCACTTCACGCACCCGACCACCTCTCGCAGCGAAGTGCTGAGTCAGCAGTTTGCACAGCTGCTGCAGTTTGTGTACGGGCTCGTGGACACGTGCGGGCGACAGCCGTCCTCTGTTGTCTTCCGCGCAGCGCAGGAAGCAGTCACGCGCGTGCACGAGACGGTTGACGGGCTGATGGACCTGGTCATCTACTCAAACCCACTCATTGCCGTGTACTGGTACCAGCTGTACGGCCGCCTCCACCCAACTCGCATGACCCGCCCAGACGAAGGTAGACTGACCATGGATGATGATGATGATGATGATGATGATGATGATGATGATGATGATGATGATGATGATGATGATGATGATGATTGCTATTGTGGATGATTGTGGTTGTGATCAGTGGTGGTGTGCTGTTGCGTGTGTGTTAATGGCGCCATCTGGTCGTGTGTTGTTGGTGTAAATTGTTGGTGCTCGCTGTTCCTCACCTCGCCCCCACCCCATCTTACGCCACCTTTGCTCCAGTGTTTGGGTGCCTGCGAACGCTTGAGACGACAGTGCCGACCAGCGTCAACTTTGGTCGCGATATTGCTGCGCGCGGGGCTTTTCTCCTCCTCTGCGAACGATGGGCCTTGCAGTTTGCCGGTGGGCTGTCGTATGCCGGTCGTGTTTGTTCGCGCGCGCGCGTGTGTTGTGTTTGTTTTTGCCGTTTTTTGTGTTTGGCGGCTTTGCTTGTACTGCACTTATGCTGCACATGTATACACTCACGCACAAACTGCGCGCACACACACACACATGTGCGGCTGTGCAGAGTTCTCGCCTGAAGACCACATGTCTGTGGTTGCGCTGTTGGAGAGCAACAAGTCTTCGTGGGGCCAGCTGCTGCTGCGCATGAGTGCAGAGACACCGGTCTCGCAAACCATTACCCACCTCCTGTGTGATCCGTACGCACCGCACTACACTGCCGCTGTTGAAGCTGTGTCCCACTTGTGGGCCGCCCTTCACGAGCACAGCGCAATGACACGCGTGCAGCAGCAAATGCTCGATCAGGCACTCGCTTCTCGCCTCTGCAAGGCGCCCGCAAGGTTCGCCATGCGTGCGTGCATGTTTTTGGTGTGTTTGGGAGAGGGGGATGGGGCTCTGTGCTTGCGTGTGTGTGTGCGGGTGTGTGTGCGTGTGTGCGTGCGGGTGTGTGCGTGTGTGCGTGCGTGTGTGTGCTTGTCAATGCAGAACTGGCTGGCTACGCCACTGGTTCCGTTATTGTGTCTTTGTCATGTTGTCGTGCATTGTGGTTTGGGCACTTACTCAAGTGAGCGTACATGCTAAATCAACTCACCCTTACGCCTTCCATCAACTCCCCCCTGCCCCTTGCGTGTCTTCCCCCTTTCCAATTGCCACCGTCCACCTGCCAGCGTGCCGCTGCTGGAGATGGTGATTCAGCGGGCAATTGTTCACAACACACGCGCGCCGTTTGTGTGTGCGAGTGCGGATCTTCTCATTCGGCGCCGCCTTGATGACCTTGATCTTACAAACGTGAGTGACCAGTGATGGCACTTTGCCGTGCTGTGTTGCTGATACACTTACTCATGGACCATGAACCCGCTCATGCCACGATTTTGTCTCCTTTCACCTCACACACACATGTGCACAATGTACATACTGTACACAATCACGCACACGCACACCTATGTACACCCACACGCGACACAGCGAACGGTTGCAGCCCATCTGCGCGACATTGTTGCGCCAATCAAGTCCCGCTGCCCGCGCACGTACAAGTGTCTGTGTGCTGCGCTTGAGGAAACAAGCACAACAATGCCATCACCTGCGCCAGAGCCTGGGGCGAAAGCACAGGCCACAGTGGAGGCACTGCTGGGACAGGAACCGGCACAGTCGTGGTGGGATATTGCCTTCTCTCTTGTCACCACCACCGCTGGCAGGCAGTATCCAATCAGCTCCATCGTGCACCTCCTTCTCTCCGGCACTCCAGATGAATTCAAGTGCGTTGCTGCGTTTGTTGTGTGTGTGTGTGCTTGCATGTTCGCGGAGTTGTTTTGCGCATCTCCTTGTGTTTGTGTGTGCGGCTGTGCATGTATTGTTTTGTGCGCCTCTGTACGGCTTTGTGTGTCCGGTTTCTTCTCGCTTGTTTTGCCTTGCTTGTCTGTTTCAAGTTTGTTGTTTGCTTTATCGATTGCATACACGTACATCCGCACCCACACCACCATTCCAACATGCTCACAAACACTTCCTTTCCAACTCCAACCCCCTTAACTCACACCACACGCTGCCCTCCCCTTCCATCGTTTGCGTTAGGCTGCTGATTGAGCACGAGTCATTCGACGCGCGCTACTTGCAACCGCTCATCAAGGGAGCATGCGAGGGCCTGCGCAGCGAGAGCCATCTCGTCACCTGCGAGCGGCAGTGGTTTGTGCGCAGCGACAACCCTGGCGCAACGCAGGAGGCAAGCACGTCCTCTGTTGTGAAGCTGGGCCAGCTGATTGTCATTCTGAAGCGCGTGATTCTTGCCCGCTTGCAACGCCTGCTGCAGCAGAAGAAAGAGCAGCAGCAGCAACAACAACAACAACAACACGAGCAACGCCAGCGTGAGCAAGGCGAACAACAAACACCTGCATCCTCACCCTCATCCCCGTCATCATCATCATCGTCATCGTCATCGTCACCGACTCCAGTGATGCTGAGCCGAGTCGGGGCGGATGTGCTGCGAGCTGTTGGTGCCCTTGCTGAACTGCACACGCAGGCGTCCGGTCTGCGGGCCATCTGGCAGTGGAAGCTTGTGCGTGACACGACGACAGACGAGTTTGGCGATTTGAATGATGAGGTGCGCGCAGCGCTGGACATTCTGCCCGAGCACGCGCGTGCATTGGCGGAGGCTGCCGTGTGTGCTGTGGAAGAGGTCAACGTGCGCCTGCACCAGCACACGTCCATGCCGCTCCCGCTCTGGCCCGTCACCGTCGCACTCGACACAGTCGTGCTCATTCTGAAGCACCCGGGTGTAAAAACGCACCTCGTACGCGAGGCCCCAGATGAACTCACGCCGCTTGGTATTGAGCTCATCTCAAGCACGGTGGACGTTGCGTACGACCTCTTCCGCTACACGACGCTGTCGCGGTTGCCACCGCACCCGCGCGACCCCGTGAGCCGGCTTGACCTGCAGGAGCGACTGGAAGGCGATGACATGTATGGCGCCGATGCGGACGACCAAGAGCACAAGAAGCCGTCGGAGGAGGCTGCAGAGACACGCGTGTCTGGCTTGACACTGCTGACACTGCACCGCTTGGGCCTGTTGACGAAGGAGTCGACCAACGTGCTGAGTCCGCGCGCCGTGGGGCGACTGCTCAACCAATATGGGGGCCGTGATGAGACGCTGCCACACTTCTTCCGGCTGTCGTTGAACGCGGTTGTGGCGAACGTGGCGCCACTGGTGATGACGAGCATGCAGCAGTACGCGCTGTGCTGCAACCCCGAGTCGTGCAAGCCATCCAGCCGCATTGTCACGTTCCTGCAGCAGCTGCAGGTGTCCGAGGGCGTTGGCATGCGACGCGAGCTCCTACAGGACGACCACGTTGCACAGGGGCTGGCGCACCGTGTACGCATCATTGGCTTCCGTAACACGAGCGAGGAGGCGCTTGGCCTGCTGTGGACGTGGCTGCGCGACATTGTTGAGCTCCGAGACGACCAGCTCACCCGCGAGTCGCGAGAGACGACGACGCTGCTGGCGGTGCGCTCCCTCACCACGGTGCTGTCCATGATTGATCCTGAGGCGCACACGAGCGTGTTCCCGCCGTACCTTGAAGTGGAGAACAGCCTGAGCTCGTACCTGGAGACGGTTGCGGGGCTCTATCTGCACCGTGTGCATCTCATGCAACGCTTTGACTACATGGCAACGCACGGCACAACATGGCGCCAGCTCGGCCGTCGCATGACCCAAATCTCCCCAGACGACACGGCGGTGAGAGAGAGTGTGTATGCGTAAGTGTGCGCGTATGTGCGCGCGTATGTGTGTGTGTGCAAGCGTTTGGATTCGTTTCCTTTGCTTTTGTGTGTGTGTGTGTATGATGACCACTGTGGGTTTATTGCCTTCATACAGTTCACCACCATTGACCAACCTCATTTTGTGCACCCCCTGTTGAACATATCTCCACACCCACACCCACACCCATTTCAGAAATCCGTGTCCTCGCTGCGGCGCTGTGTTGATGAGCACGCTGCGTCTGGCGAGCTCCAGTGCCACCGCTTCTTGATCTATCTGCCACAGGTCATCGAGATGTGCCTGTCGCTTGTTCAGCGAGATTCCCAGGCTATCAAGGTATCCCAATCCGTTGTGTGTGTGTGTGTGTGTGGCTGCATGTGTGTGGCTGCATGTTTACGTGTATGCTGTTCGTGTGTCTGGTTGATTGCGATGTGTCGTTGGAATGTATCGTCATACCATACCAGTGCCCAATTAACACACCTTCACAAACCACTTTTGCCTCTTTAGATCCTCAACGGCGCCTGCGAAGCGCTGCACGTCTTGTTGGATAAAGTGCATGATGCAAAGCAGCTCAGTGACATTGCTGTTGTCCTCTTCGACTTGGCCAACAGTGAACTGATTGCAGGTGGGTGCATGAGAAACGAAGAGTACGCGCGTGCGTGTCAGTGTTTGCGTGTGAAGGCAACAACAACCCATGAAAGGTGCTTATGTATCGGGAGCGCTGAATGCTGCCACTTCACCCCACTCACATTTTGTTTTGGCCCCCCCCCTCTCCTCGCTTTGCCCACCCCAACCCAGACGACCACATTGTTCTTCGCTCCGTTATCCCCATCCTGTGCAAGCTCCAGGCCATTAACCACGATGTATGTCATGCGACGTGCTCCTTGAGAAACACCATGGCGTGTAGGTCTCACGCGTGCGCATGGGTGTAGTGTGTGTGTGTGTGTGTTGCAATTGCCGAGCCGCATGGCCACGCTGTTGTTGTGTAGGATTGTATTGTATCACCCAAGCACGCTGAACGATGTTGGTTGTTGTCTTCATGACAACTTTATCTGTGTGGTTGTTCTGTCAGGGCGACCACCGCCGACTGGAGTTGATCTCGAACATGCTCCACACGGCTCTCGGCAGCCAGCTCCCGTCGGTTCGCATGGCCGCACTCACAGGCATCAAGTAAGTGTAAACGACGACGGCTACTGTGTGCGCCCGCCTATGTGTGCATGCGTGCATGTGTGCGTGTGTGCGTGTGTGCGTGTGCGTGTGTGCATGTGCCTCTTTTCGCACACCTGCAAGGCATGTGCGATGAACGCGTGGGTCACGGCAATTATTGTTCGCCGCAATACAACATCCAATCGCAAGACACCATTCCTTTCTTCCGTTCACCTGCCACCACCATCATCATCGTCACAGGTATCTTGCACAAGGCCACTTGAGCCTGGCAGCGTTGCCCTTTATCGATCACGTTCGTGACGCCGTGCAGGTGCTGACCAAACACGCGTTGCTCGAGCATTCCCAGATCACCGCCGCCACCACGGCTTGGGTTCCCCGCCTGTTTTGGGCCCGCGCATTCGATGCAGCAATCCAGGTGTGCACGTGTGTGCGTGCATGTGTGTGTGTGTGTGCGTGTGTGTATGAGAGAGAATGTGTGTGTCTTGTGTGTGTGTGTGTGTGTGTGTGTGTGGCTTTCTGCTCGTCGTTCTGGGTAGTCGTGTGGTGTGCTTTGTTGTGTGTCACACACCCCCGCACTCAATTGCACGTACACAACTTTCAAACACACCAATCACCGATTCACATCCTCTCTCGCCTCCCTTCCCCGCCCCCCCCCCCAAAACACACGACGCATCGCCAGGTGATCATATCGTTCCCCGAGGAGGCGGACAAAGCAAACTTGACGTATGACCTGACGGCTGACTTGTCGTCCATGTGTTTGGCGCCCGGCAACCTCTCAGAAGCATCATACTCCCGCACGCTCTCTGCGCTCGTTCGGCTCGTGCTGTCGTTTGTGCTGGACAGCCGCGAGACAGACGCGCTGCTGACGCTTGCCGGTAACGTCAACAACCGCTCTGGGCTCTTCTCTCTTCTGGACGTGAGTGAGACGGTGTGCGCCACGGCGCTGCTGTACTCCAAGGACGAGTACCTGATCCACGAGCAGCTTGGAGACGCGTCCCCACGCGCTGTTGTGGAGCGACTGCCCCTGAACTTTGGCGATCGCATCACTCGTATGGTGGAGACGGTGGTGGACGAGCCGTCCGCTCTCGTTTTGGCGCGCTCGCTGTCCTTTTTGCTGACGGACTTTTGGCCAGCCCGGCAAATCCTGCAAATGGTGATGGCGCAGTGGACAAAACCGCAGGAAGGGCCCACGTTCATGTCTGACGTGCGCTCGCGGCTCATTGCACATGCACACATCACGTACCACGTGTTTGCGCGCATGCTGAGCCTTGGTTTTGGCGCAGCGGTGGCAGAGTGGGTGTGCCTGAGCTTGCCCAACGTGTTGCGTGGACAGCACTGGCGCGAGGCGTGCATCTGTCTGTTCAGTGCCGCTTGCGGCGACGCACGCCAGCGCAGCTTACTCTTCCTTGCGCTCGGCAGCACCACCACAGGCCCGTCATCCCGTGTGTCGTCCATGTCATCATCACCAGCACCAGCACCTGTGTCAACTCAAAGGGCTGATGGTTTCCCTGTTGGTAGTGGTGGTGATCGGGTCGGTGAGGGTGAGAGTGGCAGTTCATCCGCAGCAACAGCGGGCGCCGCCACTGCAGCAGATATGGCGACGGCCAAACGCGTTGATCTTGACCGCGTGTTTTTGATGGCTGGGCTCATGTTCTTCAACTCTGGTCTTCTCTCTGAGGAAGCGGTGCATGCTCTGGTGAATGTGTGTTCCGCATCCGAGCAGCCGCTCTGCCAGGCGCTCGTCAGGGGCTGTCTCGCATGCACAGAGGCAAACAGCTAGCATATGTCCCATGCGTTGTGTTGAGTGAGTGTGTGTGTGTGAGTGTGTGTGTGTGTGTGTGTGTGAGTGTGTGTCCCCTTCGCTCGCTGGCTGTCAGTCAGATGTTGCTTGATTGGTTCGTTGGTTCGTTCAAGTCTCTCGAGTAAACGGATTCCATTTGAGCTTACGTTGTTGAGTTGGCAGAAAGGAAGGAGCATGGGTTATTCCTACCACAGTGTTTGGGGGAGGGGGCGGGATCAAGCACGGGGCGAGTGGGACACACGAGACACATAGCTTTGCGAGCTACACATACACCGAGCAAGAGGCAAAGAAGAGGGGGGGGGAGGAGGGGGGGGGGGGTTTCAGGTCGAATATGGCCAACAATGGCTGAGCGGGTGTAGTTGTGGTGGTGGTGGTGGTGGTGTGTGTGTGTGTGTGTGTGTGTGTGTGTGTGTGTGTGTGTGTGTGTGTGTGTGTGTGTGTGTGTGTGTGTGTGTGTGTGTGTGTGTGTGTGTGTGTGTGTGTGTGTGTATTCATAGTATGCCGTGGTCGGCTCGTGTGTGGTGGTGGTGGTGGTGGTGGTGTGTGTGTGTGTGTGTGTGTGTGTGTGTGTGTGTGTGTGTGTGTGTGTGTGTGTGTGTGTGTGTGTGTGTGTGTGTGTGTGTGTGTGTGTGTGTGTGTGTGTGTGTGTGTGTTTTTCATTCAGTCACGGCGGCGGGACGACGAGCGCCTGTCACGATCGCGACTGCGGCTCCTGTCGTGCCGGCTGCCCCTCCTCCGATCAGAGTCACGATCACGATCACGATCACGATCATGATCACGATCACGGTCACGGCTGCGGCTGCGATGGCGGTGGCGGCGGCGGCGGCGGTCATCATCGTCATAATCGCGGTGGCGGTCACGGCTGCGACGACGTCGACTGCTGCTGCGCTCGTGATCACGATCACGGTCACGGTCACGTCGCCTGTCATCATCACGGTCACGGTCACGGCGATCCTTGTCTCTGCTCCTGCTGCGGCGTCTCCGCCTGTCCCTGTCGCGGTCCCTGTCTTTGTCGCGACTGCGGTCTCGACTCCTGCTGCGGTGGTCCCGTCGCCGATCACGATCACGATCACGGTCGCGATCGCGGCTCCTGCTCCTGGTGCGGCTGCGGGTGCGGCGGGAGGAGCGCCTGTCTCTGCTCGGGCTGCGGCGGCGGCGAGACCGCGACCGCGATGGCGAACGGGGACGCGAGGAGCGCACGGGCGTTGGCGAGTGGCGGCGGCTGTCAATTGGTTGGTTTGGGGGAGTGGGGTGGAAGCAATGAGCGGTGTGCATGTGCGTGCGTGCGTGTGCGTGCGTGTGTGTGCGTGTGCGTGCGTGCGTGTATGTGTGTATGTGTGTGTGTGTGTTGTGTGTGGTCGTTTGCGTGTGTAGGTGTGCGAAGTACGTACCCGCGCACGTATGGGTCGTCCCTATCATCGGGGCGTGGTGGCGGCGGGGGACGGGCGGCCTCTTCCTCCTCTGTCAGCTCACCTGGACACCAGTCAAGTTGGAGACGGACGGGCGGTGAGTGCGAATGTGTTGTGTGCGCGTGTGTGTTTGGCGGGGAGCAGCCGGAAGAAGAGGCAGGAAAGGGTGCACACACGCACGTAAGGAAGGAAGGAAGGAAGGGGTGGGAGGCAAACGCGAGTGCACGCGCACATTGGCTGGGGTGGTGTGACGGACCTGTGAACCTGCGAGAGTCGTATGGGTGGCTGTCGAGGTAGTCGAGCATGTCGCGGTGCTCCATGACGGGGATGCGCGGGAGGCGGCACACGGGATGCAGATACTGAAGCTCCTGTGGTCGCACGCATCATGGGCAGGTGGTCAGGAGAACAACGGTCACAACATGACTCTTCTGCAATTGAAATGCAGACACAAACGCACACAAACGCACACACACACACGCACGCACGCACGGCGCCACAGACAGCAGAGCAGCAGCACTCACGGTGATGAGCATGCGGAGGTATTCGCCGAGCGGCATCTGCGGGGCGGCTGCGGCCATCTTGACCTTGACGGGCTCCGGATCGTCAATGTAGTCGCTGAACCACGTCCACAGCGTCTCGGGGTCCGCTGTGTAGCGCAGGTACAGAAAGCCAATGGCCCGAATGTACACAGAGTCCTTGTGCGTCACAAGCGTGTCAAGCTGCGCCTCGTTCAGGCGCAAGCAGAACAGCTGGTGGGGTATTGGGGGGGGGGAGGAGATGGCGGGGGAAAGAAAGGGGTGTAAGTACATGAACCATGAGTGCGGGACAGTGTGGATCAAGCCAGACTGAATACTACAACACACATATTCAAACAAAAAAACACAGAGCATCTTTGAATTGCGTACACACCCTGTAGAGAAGGCAGAAAGCGGTGCTGGGCGAGTTCTGCGGCGACAAGATGATGGGCTCTGTTGTGGTTACCACGCAGGCGAAGAGAACAAGAAGAGGAAGGGAGGGGAGGGGAAACCAAGCCAAGCAAGGCAGAGAGGAAGCAAGGAGAACAAAAGGTTAGTGGGAACACACGGATATGGAGCACGCGACACTTGAGGTATCAATGACGCAACATCAACGACAAATTCAACGACAGTGTTCACAGCAAGGGCAGACGAGCAGGACCAGGGCAGCGCGCTTGGGCAATTACATGGAAAGAGACATTGCCTTGTGCGCAAGTTCAAGATAGTTTGCTGTTGCTGTTGCGGGGGGGGGGGGGGACGCGCGCGCGTGTGTGTGCGTGCGTGTGGCGAGCAACTGTGCGGGCAAGTGCCCATGGCTTGCTCGGCTGGCGAGCCCTGCACATGCACCAGACGCCATGCGTCGGCACAGTCTCACACAACAACATGCACACACACACAGAGCGCATACAGCACGCGCACACACGCTTCTCGGGGCATGCCTGCCTTTTGCCGGCGCGCACGTATACGCCACTGATCCACGATGGGCAACCGTCGCTGGTGCGAGCTGCCACCGCGTTGTTCAGCGTTCGTGACTAACCTAGATGATCGACAAACGTGTAAATCTCGTCAACGATGTCTTCAAATGTCTTGAGAGCACTTCAGGTTTCAAACATGCACAGGACGGGTGTTGTGTGTTGAGCGCAGGGCGAGTAGGATCGAGGGGGGGGGGTGATTGCATGGTGCGCATGGTGTGTACGTGCACAGTTTCAGGAGCACAAACCACGAGCGGCGATTGGATGAGGGAAGGAGAGGTTGGCCGAGAGGAAGGAGTCCAAAGAAGACGACATAAAGGAACATGCAAATGCAACGCGAGGAATGCAAGCAAGCAAGGGAGAGCAGGGACGCAAGGTGAGCTTGTGACGATAAAACAATCAATCAATCAGAATCGTACGCAGCCTACAACATCCAGATGCATGCGTGGCCAAAGGTGAAGAAGCTTCAGAATGGTGTGCCGTGATTGAGACAGAGGTGGGAGCAACGCGGTGATTAAACACAAAACAGGCTTCTCAATGTGTGTCGAGCTCTTGCCTTTCAACCCGCTTTAACTCTACCCACGTTACAGTTTTCAACATGCACTTACACGAGCACGTCAACAACGAGCATCGGGCAATGACGAACCCACCACCAACAGCGCCCTCCTCCTCCTCCTCCTCCTTCTTCTCCTTCTTCTCCTTCTTCTTCTCCTTCTTCTTCTGCTCCCTGTTCCCCACTTCTTGTGGGTCAACAAGAACTTACGCGCAGTTGTCCTGGAAGTATGTCGACTCGACAATGTTGGAGTACAAGACATGGCCCAAGTCCATCGTGACCGGGTCACACTTGTATGGGAACACGTCCTCGGGGTCCTGAGTCGCACAGGCAAGAGGTGTGTCAAGCGCATGCGTGCATGAGTGGAAGCGGTGCTTGATGCAGTTGAAGCTAAGCTCAGCACGCACGCTTCAGCATCACAGGGAGCCAATGTGCTATGACAACACCGTACAAGCAAGTCGACGAACCGAATCCCACACAGTCACACAGCAGCAGTCAACGCCACGCGACGTACAGACAACCAACCACACCTGTTCCGGTGGCTTTGGAATGACGAGGCCAGCGGCAACGCGCGCCTCGTAGCGCTTCATCGCCTTGGCGTGCTGGTGCTCCAGCGCCCGCCGAGACATGGTCGTGGAGTGGAGTGTGAGGGGGAGTTGAGGTGGTGAGAGAGAACGTTCGACCAGCAATGGCAGACGCGGATAAGGAGGAATGGTGATGATCATGCAGAAATTTCAGCACTACCCCAACGAAGAAGGACGACAACCACAACTGCCACGATGAGCTCCACACAGCAACACCAGCAGCAGTGGCTGGAGTACAGGTGTGTTGATTTGTGTGTGTGTGTGTGTGTGTGTGTGTGTGTGTGTGTGTGTGTGTGCGCTGCGACGGTGGGAATATCAGCCGAGATGTGTAAGTTCACTGACGAAGTGTCTATTGTGATATTCCGAGTCGCGTTGTCGCATACTTTGGACGTCTCTTTGCCTTAGCAATCATGCGCCATCGGATCCGCCCGGACTTGTTGATCGCTAGTTTCCTATCTAGAGAATTTCGGTTGACTTCCTCAAGTCCAACGATTAGGAACGTAAACTTTAGAATGAAAAACTACGATAATCTTCTTTTGGTCGAAAAAAAAGTATCAGGCGTACCTAAGGGGTAGTAGTCGTTGTGTAACCGCCTGATGTGACCATCACACTAACTGCTTGACTCCCGATCGTGATCCAGCCCCGTCAAATGCCGGGTAGTCCGTCGAGGGTTACCTGGTGCCTGTGATGTGAAATCGATAGGAGTCCCTAACGGTGTGTGTGTGTGTGTGTGTGTGTGTGTGTGTGTGTGTGTGTGCGGCTGCACGTGGGCTGTGCGCGGGATCGGCTGTAGAGGCATCGCTGTTCTGGGCGTGGCGGGGCTGTGAGCTGTGTGTTTGTGACGTGGAACGTGTGTGTGTGTGTGTGTTTGTGATTGCAGCACGCCTGAAGGGCGGACGTACTACTACAACACCGCGACAAAGCAGTCTGTCTGGGACAAGCCTGCCGAGCTGCAGCGGCAACAGCAGGTGCGCAAGAAGTGAATGAGTGGCTGTCGGGTGTCGGTGGGTGAGTGGCTGTGTTGCTGTGTGCGTGTGAGTGTGAGTCTGTGTGTGTGTGTGTGTGTGTGTGTGTGTGACTGTGTGTGGGTGTGTCAGTGAGTGCACGCATGAGTGGGCAGTGCAGGTACGCCAGTGATATAGCGTATGAGTATGCTTTTGTGTACACGATGCATGGGTTACTGTGTACACGATGAGTGCATTTATGTGCATGATGTGTGCTCACGGAATCCTATCCTGTCCATGGTCACGCAGCCTGCTGCAGCACCACAGGTCACCGCGCCTCAGCGGCAAGTACAACAGGAGCCACAACAAGCACAGAAGAAGCCATTCATGGCCTTCTCAGCTGGGCTGTCGGGATCAAGCAGCGCAACAGCAACCAAGAACAACACAGTAACATCTGCTGGTACCAAGCCACGCTTCAACCCACTCGCTGACGAAGACGACGGAGATGAAGAGGGAAGCGGCGCCAAAGAGCAGGTGACCTGTTGCACAAAGTGCTACTTTCTTATGACTGTGTTCATCACCGCTTTCATTGAGGCTGCGTTGAGCACTCACACGTTCATGTACACTTCCACTACATACCGCTGCACACATTCACTCACTCATGTTTTATCATGTTCGTGTGCATGTGCGCGCGCCTGCACTGGCTCAACATGATGTCGATGTCATTCTGTCATGCTATGCTTGCGGGTTGTTGTTGTTGTTGTTGTTGTTGTTGTTGTTGTTGTTGTTGTTGTTGTTGTTGTTGTTGTTGTTGTTGTTGTTGCTGTTGTTGCTGTTGTTGCTGTTGTTGTTGTTCGACGTCACGACAGCCACGGAAGCGGGCGTTCCTGCTGCAGCAGGCTGCACGCCAAGCGACCGCTGCAAGCGTGTTCAGCACCGACGACGATGATGCCGGTGGCGAAGACGAGGATGAAGATGAGGATGAGGTGGACCCGCTGGACGCATTTATGGCGGGCATCGACGATCAAGTGGAGAAGGAAAAGCTCACGGCTGGGCAGGCAAGTAGTGTAGCCGGTGCTTGATTGCTCACACGCGTCGTACCGTAGTTCTGTGCTCTGTGGTGTGTGTATAGTTCGTGTATGTGTGTGTGTGCGCGTATCTGTGTGCGTATCTGTGTGTGTGCGTGTGTGTGTGTGTCTTTGCACTTTGCGTGGGGTGTGTCACAATGCTGTTGGAGCCACTATCTGCGACGACACCCCAAAACAATGCACAGGCTACAAACGCTCACACACTGCATTAGCATCACCTCCCACATTCGCTCAACAGGAAAAGAAGAAGCCGCGGCGTGACGACATTGAGGACTTGGACGAGCACGAACAGCTCTTCAAACATCTGGAGGAGAAGAAGGCGGAACGCGCCGATGAGGTCGTCGAAGAGGTAAAACATCTTGGCGTGATGGCATCATGTAATCCATTGTATAACATGGTTCCATATGCTGTATCATACCACACTTCTTCATTGGTCCCTCCCTTCCCCCTCTGCTGCCTTCTTTCCTTTACCTCTCTGGTGATGTTTTTTTTTTTTTTTTTTAGGGGGGGGGGTTTATCTTGCCCGCCTTCCCTACCATCTTCGCTTTAATGACACGCACGTACACGTGGCGTGTCTTGTTGGATTCAGGTGGAGTATGACGAGGACGGAAGGGTCATCCGGAAACGCACCTTTAAGAAGGACAAGGATCCCCTGGGCGAGATTAACCATGACGAAATCAACTATCCTCCCTTCAACAGATGTTTCTACACCGAACACGAGGACGTCTCCAAACTCAACAGCGCGGAGGTGTGTGTCATGTGTGATGTGTGTAATGTGTGAGTGTGATGTTGTGTGTGAGTGTGTTAGTGTAAGCGTTAGGAAGGGGCTGCTTTCTTGCGTTTCTTTTTCATGCACACACACACACACACACCACATCCCTCAAACCGACTCAACCCATCAACCAGGTGCGGGAGTTGCGACGTCAGCTCGGCGTTGAGGCAACAGGGAGTGGCGTTCCAAAGCCGTGCGTCAGCTTTGCGTATTTCGGCTTCGACGATGTCATGATGCAACTCATCCAGCGACAGGGATTCGCACAGCCAACCCCAATCCAGGCCCAGGTGTGTGTGTGTGTGTGTGTGTGTGTGTGTGTATTTGTTTGTGATTTGGTTGTGTGCTGTGTGTGTGTGCTCTGTGTGTGTGTTTGCTTGGGCATGCATGTGTATGCCTATTTGTGTGTGTGTGTGTGTGTGTGTGTGTGTGTGTGTGCTGGGTGTGCTGGTGTGTGTGTGTGTGTGTGTGTGTGTGTGTGTGTGCTGGGTGTGTTTGCTTGGGTATGCAGGCGATTTTGTGCGACTGAATCAGGTCCTGGTGTTTCTCATCAAGACCCCGCTTGCTCTCACCCCCGCCCCCTTGTGTGTTTCCATCAAGGCCGTGCCCACGGTGATGAGCGGGCGCGATGTGATTGGAATTGCGGAGACAGGATCCGGTAAGACCGCCGCCTTTGTCTGGCCAATGATCAAGCACATCCTCGACCAGCCAGACCTCAAGCGCGTACGTCAAAATGCGTCTGCGTTGGCGTGCGGGCGCGCGTGCGGATGTCTGCTTGTGTGTATGCGTGGAATTCGATTGCGCATGCTATGTCGTCAATGCAATTCATCCTTCATTACCTCCACCTCCACCTCCGCCTCCTCCTTCACGCCATCCTCATCCACCTTCAAATGGACCACCGCATGCACAGGGTGACGGCCCAATTGCCGTCCTGCTTGCACCGACACGAGAGCTGTGCATGCAGATCAGCCAGAACACACGTCGCTATGCAAAGCACTACAACATTCGCGTTGCAACCGTCTACGGTGGCGTGAGTCGCTCTTTGCGTATGTGCATGTGTTCGTGTGTGTGTGCATGTGTGTGTACATGTGTGTGCGTGTGCATGTGTGCGTGTGTGCGTGTGCATGTGTGCATGCGTGTGTGCATGTGTATGTGCTTGTGGGCTGGTGCTCATTCGCATCACCGCAACCGCTCGCTTGTTGACGCCCAACGCCATTCCTCATTCAGGGGAGCCGATACGAGCAAGTGAAGACGTTGAAGGACGGGTGCGAAGTTGTAGTAGCGACACCAGGTCGTCTGATCGATCTCATCAAGGACAAGGTGCGAACACTGCTCTCATTCCACACACACACACACACACACACACATACATACGCACACACAGTGTTCTGCGTTGCTGCCGGGTCGAGTATACAGGTGTATGTATGTGTGTGGTTATGTTATGTGCTGGTGCACGCGCTTACAGTCATCAGGCACACGCTCACCAGCGCATAAATACACATACGCACATCAACATCACAACATACATGCACCCCCCTCCCTTACGCGCTGTGATCGCGTGCACGCAGGCAACGAACCTGCGGCGGGTGACGTATCTTGTGTTAGATGAGGCAGATAGGATGTTTGACATGGGGTTCAGTCTCCAAGTCAACAGCATCATCAACCACGTGAGTCGCGCGCGCGCGTGTGCAGTCTTTGGCTGCTTGTGGAATTGGGTCGTGTTATGAAATGCTTTGCTGGTCGCCGACAATGACACAGCTGTTCTGCGTTGTTTGCCGTTGTTCCTTCATCCTTCGCATCAACAACACCCACCCACATCCTAATCATCATCGTAATTGTGCTCCTCAACAACATCCACCCACATCCTGATCAACACCACCACCTCAACCGCCATCATCCCCAGACGCGGCCTGATCGACAAACGCTCCTCTTCACCGCGACGTTCAAGAAGAAGGTGACGCTGTCATCACAGTACGAGCTGGTATTACGCTCCTGATGCACACTGACAGTCTTTCGCTCTCGTATTCACACTCGCGTGTACGTGTGTGTGTGTATGTGTGTGTATGTGTGTGTATGTGTGTGTATGTGTGCGTGTGTGTGTGTGTGTATTTTCAGGTGGAGAAATTGGCCCGCCAGGCGTTGCGGAATCCTGTTCGCATCGTCGTCGGCACTGTCGGAAAGGTGCGCCGGCGTCACGCGCACACTCCATCGCTGTGTTGACTCCCCATTTTCGCCACAAAGCTTTCTGTGTGACAGGGTTGTATGTTCACCCCAAACGTTTACGACCACCACACGTTTACGACCACCACAGCGTTTTTGTGTTCTCAACACACACACACACACACACACACACACACACACACACACACACACATACACACAAACGCACATGTACACGCGCGCTCGCTGCAGGCGAACACGGACATTGAGCAGCGAGTCGAGATTATGCAGGACACCGCCTCCAAGTGGGGCTGGCTCAAGGCACACCTGGTTGAGATGCAGTCAGGTGCGACACCTATGCACATGGATGCATGCGTGTCCATGGCTGTGGCAGTTAGAATGCGGACGTGAATTCAGCGTGCTCGCTCTCGACTTGAGCTCTTTTGTCAGTGTTGTGTCGCAACTGTTTGTTTGCGTTTCAGTTCACGCTTGTTGGTTCAATGTTGTCTGTCCATGCCACAGCTGGTAACGTGCTGGTGTTTGTCAACAAGAAGGCGGATGCAGAGACACTTCACGAGAGCATGGTTGCTGCCGGGTTTCAAGGTGCGCTTGTGTATGCGTGGATTTGCGCTGTGTGTGTGTGCGTGTGTGTGTGTGTGTGTGTGTGTGTGTGTGTGTATGTGTGTGTGTGTGTGTGTTTGGTTGGCTCTCGTGACCCCCTCCCTCGCGACAATCAGAGGTCTTAGGGCGACAGCGAAAACAAATTATTTCTCCACAATACATCTTCAGCAGCTCATTCTTAACTCTCACATCACCCTTCCACTATTTACCTTCCCCGACACACACCCACACACACACACATATTTCGTCTCAGCTGTTGTTATCCACGGTGACATTGACCAGATCACGCGACAGGAAGTTCTGTCAAAGTTCAAGAAGCAGACAGTGCGCATCCTCGTCGCCACAGACGTCGCAGGTGCATATACACGCACGCATGTACACATATTACTCGCTCGTGCTCACTTGTGTGCGTGCGTGCGTGTGTGTGTGTGTGTGTGTGTGTGTGTGTGTGTGTGTGTGTGTGTGTGTGTGTGTGTGTGTGTGTGTGTGTGCACTCGAGCGCTGTGCCTTCTCCCTTTACCAAAACATGCATTCGTTGTTGCGCTCACCAATTCATCGACACCACATGGCACAACACCACAACACCCAAATCATCCTTGCACTCCTTCTCTGCTTCCCCAGCGCGCGGGCTGGACATTCCATCTGTGCGCAACGTGGTCAACTTTGATGCTGCGATGAGCATCGACACACACACGCACCGCATCGGCCGTACAGGCCGCGCGGGCGTGAAGGGCACAGCGTGGACGCTGCTGCTGCCCACAGAGACGTCGTTTGCCGCACAGCTGGTGGAGAGTCTTGAGGCCGCCAGCCAACGCGTCTCAGACGCGCTCCTGCACATGGCCGAACAGGTGACAGCGCAAGGAGGAGGAGGAGGAGGAGGTTGGAGGAGGAGGAGGAGGGATGTGCGCTGCTGACTCATGTTCATGTTCATGTGTGTGTGTGTGTTTGTACATGGCCTGTTGTTGGGTGACATTAATTGCGTGCTTGCTCGTTTAATGACAGCCCGAGCAGCTCGTCCATGTCACTTCACCAATGTCATTCGCACGATCGCTATCGCATCACGTGTGCAGGACCCGAGGTTTCGCCAGCGCCGCCACCGCGGTGAACACACGTACGGGCGCGGACGCGGGCGAGGGCGAGGAAGGGGAGCAGGATTCGCACCACCCCACATGATGGGGCCTGGGCCACAGCGACACGACACATACCAGCACTACCAACAGCAACCACAGCAATACCACCACCAGCAACAGCAGCAACCACAACAGCACTACCAACAACCACAGCAGTACCAGCAACAACCGCAACAGTACCAGCACTCCCAACAACCACAACAGTACCAGCAACAACCGCAACAGTACCAGCCACAGCATTACCACCAACAACAGCCACAACAGCAACCACAACAGCCACAACAGCAGTATCATCAGCACCAGCAGCCGCCGCCGGGTGGCCGGGGTCGGGGTGCGCCGGCACCGCAGTCGAAACCGCGACGCAGCCGACCTGGCCTTGGCTTTGACACGCGCCAGCAGCCATCGTCGTCATCATCATCATGGACACAGCAACAGCAGCCACAACAACAACAGCCACAACAGCCACAGCAGCAGGCGTCATCGTCCAAAGCAGCGGCGAAGCAAAAGGTGCACACTCACGTACGATATGGTTGTGTGTGTGTGTGTGTGTGTGTGTGTGTGTGTGTGTGTGTGTGTGTGTGTGTGTGTGTGTGTGTGTGTGTTGCTGTCTGCTCTGAAGCCACTTCATGGTACCCCTCACACGACTGCACAACACCATTGCACATGATTGCGTTTACAGTTCATGTCCGCGTTCACGAAGGCGCAGTGACGCGATGATGCTCAGCCACGTGCACCAGGCTGCTTGCAGATTCGCAGTTGTTTACAGTTGTACTCACCAACACACACACACATACACAAGAAGAGTGAACAAACGAAAGGACGAAACTGAACTGGAAACAAAAAACACGTTCAAGTCGGGTTGCCTATTTATCGCTCTCTGTAGCGCGCGCACACACACGCACACACACGCACACACGTAAACACGAGCGAGCACGCGTGGGTGGCGGCGTGGTGTTCATGATGTTGGTGTTGACGAGCTATCGATGGCAACGAGGATGACTCCAAACACAAACAGCTGCGCACAACAGAACACAAAGGCAAGCGAGCAGACAAAGGGGTTGGCGTGAGCTTTGAAGAATGGGTCGCTGTGACATACAACGACTCACGCACGCAATCTACATTTGACTTGCAGCTGCATACACTATTACGCACGCACGCACACACACACACACACACACACACACACACACACACACACACACACACACACACACACACACACACCGCAACGCCGAAGGCGAAGAGTAGCGTTGCCCAAATGCGCTCGCCCTTGTAAAACGTTTCCCCGACCAACAATTTCGCTCCACACGCCCCTGCAAGTGTAAAGTGTGGCAAGAGCCCGGGAGACATGGCATGATGGGAGTGAGTGAAGGAGGAGGTTCTCACGTTTGACAATGAACACACACACACACACAACACTCATACACACACACGCACACACGCAACACTCATACACACACACGCGCGCGCGGCACCTGGGATGACAAAGGCGATGAGGTTGGCGTTGATTATGCCGTTGAGCTCAAGAAT